TAGTGATGTATATATATATATATATGGGTGGTTGTCAAAATTATGGTCCCTTTTTGGGTCCTTATTATAATACGGCACCTATTATTTAGGGTACCCCAAAAGGGACCATAATTTTGACAACTACCCATATATATATATATATACATATATATATATATATGATATATATATATATATATGGTTCAACCAAAAAAGGAACTACAACGGAGACTATAGGTAAACCTTAAAACCCCAAAGCTCTGGAGCCGAACCGACCCAAACACTAAAAACCAAAAGCCTTACCTAGGGGCTGAGTAGGTTGCCTTTAACAGTTTGGGGCTGATATAATCCTACTATATTTCAAAAGGTTAACCTTTTTTGGGCTAGGGTTTGGGGCTTATATAATCCTACTATGTTTCAAGAGGTTAAGCTTTTTTGGGCTATGGTACTCAGCCCCAAACGCCCTGGACATCCCTAAACCCCTCAGCCGAAGCCCCCGATGCATGGCAGCCGCAAGCTGCACAAGTGCTTTGTACAGAGAATTCGACGGGTTTCGGGTTTCGGATTTGGGATTCCGGGTTTGGGATTTCGGGTTTAGGGTTTTGGGTTAAGGTTTTCGGGTTTAGGGTTTAGGGCTTAGGGTTCCCTAAACCCGCTTGTAGAAAAAATTGCCCCGAACGCTAGGCCCTGGGGTACTGGATGCTTCTATAACGTATTCAGGAAACCCAACGACTATAGTAATGCGCACAAGTACAATAAATTACATAGATGAATAGATGAGTATATGTGTGTGTATATATATATATATATATCCCGAAGCCCTAAACCCTAATATAGATATGTAGATATCTGTTGTTTTTCCATTTAGACTTGCGAACTTGGGGAACCATACTTTCATCCCTGACCGAGTCCTGGGGTGACCACCGCTCCAATGCCGTGCGGGCCGAAAAGTGTGTCGGGGGCATCTTGAAGCACAGGGTCTGGCGGAAGTCTTGTCACGGTTTGATGCCTTGTCTGTGTCCTGGCCATGGATTACCGGACTAGATCGCAACAGGCACCTGGCGCGAGATCTCGGCCCACGCAACATCACGGTCAACGCCATCTCGCCAGGGCGCGCAGGGACAGCTTTTCGAACTTGGGAGCTGGGCACTTTGGGTTTTGGCACAGAAATACCGCTTGGGGTTTAGGGGGTGTACGGTTAACCCTAAACCCTAAACCCTAATGAGGGTTTAAGAGATAAGTTTGTGGCATTTGGTTTCGGGTGTAGAGAGCCGCTTTTGGCCACAAGGGTGCAGCAGTTTAGCTCTTGGTGGCTCTGCAGAGGCTCTGCGCTAACAAAAAATGCATCTGCAGGGATGTGGGTTGGGGAATCCAGTTTGCACTCGCAGACAGAGGATAGCCCGATGTTTTCATCTGGAGCCTTTGGTGGCTCATCATCTTCGAGAGGATTTGGAGAATCTTTAAATGAAGAGGGCCTGGATGCAGCAAAACTGCGCGAACTGGATGGGTTTGGGTTTATGGTTTAGGGTTTAGGGGTTTAGGGTTTAGGGTTTAGGGTTTAGGGTTTAGGGTTGGGTTAATGGTTTAGGGTTCGGGGCTCAAGACTTGGTGTTCTGATGCAAAGGCAGGTGTTCAGGCCAGGCCGCCCTTCCTCACATGTCGATCCCTTCAAAGCATGAGCAGTCATATAGGGGCCTCAATAATTACCTATACTATTCTTGGGGTTCCTTATTGTAGTTAGAGTATTTTGGGCACCAAAAACCCTGTTCTAACGATTAAGGCCCCTATATCAGTGTCGCCTTGGCATTTGCGAAAGATCCGCGGATATAGCGCTGGATATAGCATCCCTGGCTTAAAAGCCAAGGAAGGGTCAACAACGAGGGGACACATGGATCTTAAATCCTCTGGCGGTGTGACTGCTTCAAGAACCCTACATTGATCCTAAACCCTAACCCTAAACCCTGAACCCTAAACCCTAAACCCTAAACCCTAAAGAGGAACCCCTGGGTTTAAGAAGCCACCCCAGCCATAAAAAGATACTCGGATGAAGGTTTCGGATCCAGAAAGGATCCCGAAGTTCAAGAACCCACCCACCTTATGTCCTGTCAAAAAATCCTCTTGTTGGGTGTGCTTTATCAGGTTTGTGGGGTCCTTGCATCAAGGATCGTATTATTTCCGGGGTTGAAAACCACTCTTATATCTGAAGCTCCCGTGCAGGCCTTTTTTCAGCAGAATGCTGGCGAGCAACTACAGGCCCCATCAGGTCTTAAGAGCGCAAGGCTAAGGGGCTGGCACTCGAGTTGACGGAGCGATCCCTGCCCTACACCCCCTTGCCCTGACAATGCGCTCTCAAAGCTCCCCTGTCGATGCACCTCTGTCTTTCGCAACATTGCACCGACTATGAACACACGACGTTTAAAGTCGTGCAGGCCCCGATGTTGCAATTATGCAGGCGAACTGCATCTACTGCAGCTAGTAATCCGATGATGTGTATTGTAGTCTAAACTCGGATGCTCTTCAACAAGTCGGTTGTCAGACGCCTCGTTCACTGTGTCAGTGATCCGTGATGTTATTGTGGGGACGGAACAGGTCACCCCATAACGATTGAACTTCAGATCCTCAGCAACACTGCCAGTAACTGCTAGTACCCAAATCCTTGAATCTTGATCTCCCGACACCAGGCACAAAGCTCGCAAAAGCCTCCAGCCATTGTTTCTTGTTTAGGATTTGGGGATTTCCGAAAATAGGGGACCCAACATAGTACTCTAAATAGTAGGATCCTTATTATAAGGACCCCAGAATAAGGTACCCTTATTTTCGGAAACTCCCATTTAGGGTTTGGGGTGTATGTTCATCTCTTTTATGCCCGGTTCCTGCACTTACCAATGCCGAAGGTTCCAAGCCCTGTCTTCCGGGCCCAAACTCTTCAGCCTTGCACCCAAATCCTTGGCGCCAGAAGCCCCGGTGCAAGAGAGGCCTGCGTACGAGAACTGGCAGAATCCAGACCATCCGGCAGTCAAGAGCTTCAAGGCCCCACTTGTTGGTGCAAAACTAAACCCTAAACCCTAAACCCCTAAACCCTAAACCCTATAAACCCTAAACCATTCGGTTCAGGGCTAGGTCCTTGAATCCTGGTTTTGCCATAGCTAGGGAGAGCATGACCGTTGTGTTGGTGGTTGCTCTGTATGACTATATGCTCCGGCCCAAACGCTAATAATTCATTACTGAAACCTACACCTTAAAGCCCTGGAGCAATGAAACTCGAACTCAAGACTCCTCGCATGGATCTCTTCAATCAGGGTGTATACAATGTAGGGCTAAAATGGTGTAGGGTTTATGATGTGCAGTAAGCTACACTCTTCTTGTTCTTGGGAGGTTATGTGCTCGCTTATCAAGCCCCAGGCATCTTTTGAGGGTTGGAGCTTCGACGTCGGCTGCTGCATGCGCAGACTTTCCGCAACGCAGGCGCAAGAAGCCTTATCAGTTGAAACCTTTATGACTAGTCACATGGCATGGAAGGCCCCGCAGAGCCAACTCCCCCCAAAAATCCTGTTCGCTTGCGCCAACAGCTAAGATCTCAAATCCAAATCTTCTTCTGAGCGGCCCTCATTGCCTCAGAGCGGAAACAGGCCCACATCGCATCCGGGAATCCCATGAAGCGTCTGGGCGAGACGCACGATATCGCTGGGACGACGAAGCTTGGTGGCATATGTCGTCGGGGATGCTCAGCATCCGACGTGGAGAACAGCAAGAATTGCACGAACATGAGCCGTCATCATCAGCAACCACCGCCTTCAGCACGATTACTGTAATTGTCATCAGCTTCATTTTCTTCATCTTTGCAGAAACCCCATCACCACCAGCAACAGCAACATCACTGCAAACATCGCGAATCACGACAAAAGTCTTGGAGTGGTTCCAATAACACGGTCATGACGAGCTTGATGATGACGGTAGTGAAGAGCATGATGACGACGACGACGACGACGACGACGACGATGTTTCGCTTCAACACGATGGCGTCCTTCTCTACCCCGCCTTCAGTATCTTCGACGTTGGTGGTTGTTTGGTACATGCGGAAAGAAGAAACAGGATGAGAGCCTGACGCAAGCTCATCCGAAAAGCTTTCGAAGTTTTGGTCTTTGTGGAGCCTAAACCCCGACCCGAGCAGCCTGACGTGAAGAGGTCGAGGTGCGAAAGCGAAGCCCTAAACCCCGGACCCAATTTTTTGGAATACCGGAGAATTTGACCATCCTTGCCTCAACATGATTGATTGCACAAACATCTGCTCCGCTTTTTCCGATGGACCATGTTGACGCAGGATCTTCCTCATCTCTCGCGCAGGACCGACTTGACAGTTGAGCTCTGATGTTTTGCTTCAAAGCTTGCGCAGCTATGTTCTGAAGGTTTGGCATTCGCAATGGCAGGGTGGGGAAGCCCTAAACCTTAAACCCTAAACCCCATGTTCTGCAGGTTTGGAATTCGCAATGGCAGGGTGGGGGAGCCTGCCTCAGTTCCTCATGTGGGAGTTTCCGAAAATTAGGGGGGTACCTTATTTTGGGGTCCTTATAACGAGGATCCTATTATTTGGGGTACTATATCCTTTTTTTGGGGTCCTTATAATCAGGATCCTACTATTTGGGGTACTATATTAGGGTCCCCTATTTTCGGAAACCCCCATGTTGAGTGAGCTGTGCACGGATTTCCTGCTGCTCTGCTGCAGGAAGCTACGTGAACGGCGCCACGATCAACGTCGACGGTGGGGTTTGGATTGGATCCAAGCTGTGAGCTGGCTAGCGGCAAAACAGCGCGAACTTTGCACGAGGATTTCTCGAGACCATGTAGTCATGTAGTAGAGTCCTCCCGACATGGGTAGCTTGAACCCTAAACGTTGTGTTGAACTTGACTCGCCAAGACGTTGGTTCACTCAAGCAAGACCTTGAAACACATGCCTCGCCTGGATGGTGAGAGGGTGAGCGCCGAAACCCCCTAAAACCCCTTTAAATTTAAAATGGGGACCCTGAAGCGACAGGTTAAGTTAGGACCACCTTTAGCAAGCTCATCACAGAGTGGCCGAGCCCGGACTGTTTGGTTTCTGTTGGTGACTTAGTGTTTGTAAATTCAGGATAGCTACAAAATTGGGTATCCATACCAGGAGCTACAATGTGGACCGCAGGTAGCAGGACATAAAGAAAAACCCTAAACCCTAAACGACCCACTTCGAGGATTGAGGATGTTTCACAGTTGAAGGCCTACACGGCCAGTGCCTGCTTGCAGAAGAGGGCGTACTTCAACTTAAAAAAAAACGACCCAAAGGCTTAACCGCCCCGCAACTCCCAAGGTCCTTCACGTTTAGACCGGAAGCAATCCTGGTAAATGGGAGTTTCCGAAAATTAGGGGGTACCTTATTTTGGGGTCCTTATAATAGGGATCCTAATATTTAGGGTACTATNNCCCTATTTTCGGAAACCCCCAAAGGAGCTGTGAACTCAAGCCCCAAACCGGTCAAGGCGAAAGCCCCAGCGCCTAAAGCTCACGCAACTTGAGTTGCGAGAGTGCAAACCAAAAACTCTAAATCCGGAATTGTTGCAGGATCCCCAAACTCATGCAGAGCTCGCGCTATGGGCCCTCAGATTCATAAAGCCTTTTCAACGTCTGAATCCCAAAGGCTCTAGAACCTAAACCCGTGAAAGAGAGCTCGTTTGGCTGCGTCCGAGTTTGCGAGACCCCTAAACCCTAAACCC